CCCAGCCTCAGGCTTCCTACAATCAACCCCGTCCAACCTACGAGCAGCCACGGCCTCGTCCTACCTACGAGCAGCCTCAGCCTCGTCCTACCTACGAGCAGCCTCAACCTCGTCCGACCTACGAGCCTCCCCAGAACACCTACCAGGCTCCTCAGCAGCCCCAGCGCGGCTACGGATTCCAAAGAGAACGTGGAGCAACGAACGAACTTCATACGCTTATTATAAGTTGACCTCCGATAACTTATTCAGTGCCTATACTACGCTTCAATGACAATTTCATGTACATATCAAAAAAGTAAATTCGAACATTCGTGCTCTCGCATTTATTTCTACCGTCCTAATTATTCAGATGGAGGGATACCTGAGTGAAGATACATTCAATACAAATAGGCGATGAATAAGCGTATAAGCTGAATAACGAGCCAATTCACAAAAGAACCTTCATCGAAACTATTCTGCCGTTTCTTTATTCGAAATTAGTATTTTATTAGAAGCGAATAGTCATTAGCAAAAAAAACATGAATGAGTTTTATGAAGAGACCAAGCTGTAAAGAAGGAGGATTAATGTCGTGTTACTATCGTTTTCGGGTAAAATGATAGAGGAAACGATACTCATGAGTGCGTAAAAAATTTTTGGTTTGTTCCTTTAAATTAAGATTTAAAGTAGGGTTGTGCTACATCTAACTGAATAAATATTAGAAATCAATTAATTGAACTGGAATCATAACTGAAACCATAAAACATTTCCAATTTCTTTATGGCATCAGAACATCATTCTTTATGCTGTCTTAAGTAAAATGTTTTATCAAAAAAGCAAAATCTAAATCTCTTATTATGGACTGAGTGAAAATAGTAACTATTGGGTTGAGGTCGCAAATGAGTTGATTGATTAACTCCGAAATGCTCAGAAATAGATTTTATGCCGGGCTTCTCCCAGTCAAATTAAGAGAAATAATTTCATGAGGTAGCTTATGATAGAAGAAAATATCCGATGATTTGTATGGTCGATACCTGTTTCAAAACGGAGACTGCGGCTCGAATTAGGATTCTAAACATCTATGAAATTCGAGCACCTAAATAAAACAAAATAAATATCCATATAATTAAAAAACGACAGCATAGATATGCTCATGTCATGTACAAATTTTTCATGTTACGAATTGCATATAAACCAGAAATGAACAAAGCGCGAAAGACCAAGTTTATGCGCATTTTATTTCGATAAACTCATGGGACTTTGGCCGACCGTGTGCATAGGGATAAATGGGCGACATTAGTTTTGAGATTATTGCGAACTATATTTTGACATTATTGAATATTGAACTAGACTGTCTCAAACGACGAAAATTTACTTTACACTGCGCTTTAAAGCTTCGCAGGAGAGGTGGTAGAAAAAACATAAAATAGTATTTTCAGCTCTGAATAATAAGCCTGGTGTCGCCTGTCGCCGATTCTCGTACTCTTCGTAAATTGTTCCCAGGAGATCTTAAAACTGTCCTTTTGACAAGATCTTTTCAAAACTGGCGTTAGTTTGGAATCGCTACCGGACTTCTTCCAGGTCCGTAGGGTGCTCGGTTATTCCGGCCTGAACATATACCTCTGCTGAGCATTGTCAAGTTTATTCTTCACGCGTTCACCCTTGGAGCTCCAACGATGTAATCATGGAAGCTGTCGACATATGGAACATCCCATATGTCGACATGGAACATCCCATCGACATATGGAACAGCATGTCGCATGGATGAGTTGCAACGCGTTTTTTTTAGTTTATAGCCGTGGCCCCTGGTGTTGGTTCTTGTTTCAAATTACAGTAAACCGTCTGGCACCTTGTACGAACCTAAGTATAATTATATGCTTCAACGAGGTCGTCACGCAGAGGTCGATATCATAGATTTGGTAGCCTCATAATCTTTCTTCATAAGACTTGCCATTTAAGCCTGGAAATTCTCAGCCTTTCCAAACTCTAGGTTCGTGTGCACGATAGCGACAAACAAGCGTTTCGTCTCTTCTGCATCTAGGTACTCGAAAGGGTGTCTGATCTGCGTAGCACAACGTTCAGTATTTGTTCCACGCAGATGGGCCCCTCCACGACTTTCGTGAGAAGCTACCTCACTGCCTTCACCCCCAGCCAAGAAGCCATTGCCTTTAACCTGCTCCGGCTCTAGGAGTACTAATCTCAAGTTAACCACTCCGTGGCTGGCGCTCGCTTGCTGTGAGCGAGTTGGCGTACATGAAGCAAGCAGAGTAACTTGCCATTGCTCGACAACAACCATAATTTTGTTTATGTTCGACCACAATTTTGTTTTTGAACAATATTTGTCTTAATTTTCATTTGGATCTGTTCAAATTTGCAAGAGTTGTGCGTGCTTTGCCAGTCGACGAGGTAGAAACGGGGAAGAAAGGCTTTGCTGGTCTTATTTTTGACGAATGAGGCTGGAAGTATTTGAGTCCAGTATAGAATACCTATTAGTTTAAAGTGGACAGTTAGGCTCACGGCATGGGTAGGGAAAGTAGTAAACAGGCAAATTCTTCATTAGTAAACAGGGAGAGTAGTAAACAGGCAAATTCAGTCAAGCAAATGAAGGCTATAAGGTTTCCCTATTTGCTGGTTATTGCTGAATTATTTCAAACAAGAGTCCAAGCATATGCCAAGTAGTAAGGTTGNTTTTCATTATGGTAGAATTGAGGATTGACTTCATGGGAATATCCTTAGGTATTAAGTGCGACAGAAGAATAGGTCAAGTCGTTTGAGATGTGGACTTTTGTCAGACGACAGGCTTTACCGAAGGAACCCCAACCTGTACTCATGTTTGTGTTAAAATTGGGAAGAAACGTTCGGATTGGAAACAAAATTACGTAGCCGAAAGTATTTGAATTAGGGAATGTTTAAGATGAGCGATTATAGAACACGTCATTCCTGACTTGACACAATCCATCGAAGAAGCATGAAATTTTGAAATTCACAATAATTTCTTCGAACACTTTACTGTTTTGCTTGTATAATAGAATTAGGAATAGACGACAATAAAGCGTGAGAAGCTTTATTGGACATGCCATAATACCTTTTAAATCTATAAATTGGCAGGAAAGGCATTTTAATGCCTACCAAAGTATACTAACGGATATGGAATGGTCCCCGAAAATGTTTCGGATTATACATTTATCTTGTATGCATGCAGGGACTGGAGTCGCTGCTCCAGACGCAATAAAAAACGATGTTGAGGATGGAATGGAAACTACATAACATTTTGTTCAAGATGAAATTTAACTTGTGTGCAGGTGGCCCTCTTTTCGTGCCTTGCACTTGCGGCTGTAGCCCAACCTGACAGCCGTCCTAACACCTACCAACCATCCCAACAACAGACATACCAGCCACCTCAACAACAGACATACCAGCCACCCCAACAACAAACATACCAGCCCCCCCAACAACAGACATACCAGCCACCCCAACAACAATCCTACCAACCACCAGCACCCCGTCCTTCCTATTCCAACAGACAGCCAACCTATCAAGAACCTGAAGATGTGAGTCCAGCAAAACTGAGTTCATCTATTTAGTATACATAAATAAAAAAATGCTCCTAAGTCGGTTCCTCGCTTTTAAGAAAGTATTTATTCTACTTGGAATACAAAACAACAGCATAAGCGTATGTTCTGCTCTACAAATTTTCTGTTGTTGCACGCAAATTTGAATTTTTGATATTTGCCATTGAAGTCACTGACGTCTGACAGCATACAAATGACCGAAGAATAAAACTTGATGAGTAACCTCCTATCATCTACCAGGGTATGCCATTCGATTACTCGTATGCCGTCCAAGACCAGTACAGCGGCAACGACTTCGGCCACAACACGAACTCCGATGGCAAGGTGACCACCGGCGAGTACCGCGTCCTCCTCCCCGACGGCCGCACCCAGATTGTCACCTACACCGCCGACTACAATGGCTACCAGGCTGAAGTCAACTACGAGGGAGAAGCTCGTCCCTACGAGCCCCAGCCTCAGGCTTCCTACAATCAACCCCGTCCAACCTACGAGCAGCCACGGCCTCGTCCTACCTACGAGCAGCCTCAGCCTCGTCCTACCTACGAGCAGCCTCAGCCTCGCCCGACCTACGAGCCTCCCCAGAACACCTACCAGGCTCCTCAGCAGCCCCAGCGCGGCTACGGCTTCTAAGGAGAACATGGTGCAACGAACGAACTTCATACGCTTATTATAAGTTGACCTCCGATAACTTATTCAGTGCCTTTACTACGCTTCAATGACAATTTCGTGTATATACCGAAAAAGTAAATTCGAACATTCGTGCTCTCGCATTTATTTCTACCGTCCTAATTATTTAGATGGAGGGATATAGCTGAGTGGAGATACTTCGAATACAAATAGGCGATGAAGAAGCGTATAAGCTGAATACGAGCCAATTCACAAAATAACCTTCATCGAAACTACTTCTGCCGTTTCTTCATTCGAAATTAAGCTTTTATTAGAAGCGAATAGTCCTTCACAAAAACAACATGAATAAGTATTATGAAGAGACCACGCTGTGAGGAAGAAGGATTAATGTCGTGTTAGTACCGTTTTTGAGTCAAATGATAGGAGGAAACGATATTACACATGAATGCGTCGAAAATTGTTTGGTTTGTTCCTGGAAATTAAGAAGATCCAAAGTGGGTTGTGCGACATCTAACTGAATAAATATAAAAAATAAATTTAATACACTGGAATCATAACATGAATGCACTGAAACCATAAAACATTTCTGATGTCTCTGGTTGTCATGTCTGATATCAAAACCATAAACCATTTCTGATGTCTTAAGTTAAATTTTTTATCGAAGAAGCAAAATCAAAATCTCTTATTACGGACTGACTGAAAATATTAACTATACAGAGGCGAGGTTGCAAATGAGGTAATTGATTATCTCTGAAATGCTCATGAACAGAATTTACGTCGAGCGTCTCCAAGTCAAATAAAAAACAATTTCACGAGGCAGCTTTTATTGAAAAAAAATATCTGACGATTTAGATGGTCAATATCTTTTTCAAAACTGAGACTACGGCTTGAATCAGGATTTAAAGAAATATTAAAATTTGAGTACCCGAATTAAAACAAAATAAAGATTCTTAGAATAAAAAACGACAGCATATACTATATGCTCGATATAATGAATAAAATTTTTCATGCTACGAACCGCATATACACCACAGATGGATGAAGAGCGAAGGACCAAATTTATATACATTTATTTTGATAAACTCCTGGAACTTTG